GCATCATAATGCCACAAACGCATGGGACGCACTACTACTCCGTGTGACATTACTATAATTAGTCGAACAGGTAATAACAGACTGGGAGCAAACACTAGAAGACAATTCATATCCAATGTTTGAAAAATTTGAACAATTTTTAATGACAAGACTGGAAGCACTAGAAAACGTAATAATGATAAACTGTTGGGAAAATAATTCCACAATCTAACTCGTCAGCCAAACGTACAATAATTAACTTAAAACAAAAAAGCCACTAGATGTTGTATGGGGTTTCCGGGCAAGTAAAGGGTGAATGCACTGATTAATAATTAACACATGTCTTTATTATTTCTATTTATTTGGATTATTTTAATAAGGGTGAAATTACAGACAAACTTTATATTTCTTGATAATCTTGTAGTGTTGAAATATATTTACTATAAATGAAGCAGGTTATAATCCATTGAATATTATCACTTGAGGTTATGGTTATTGTAGTGCGTTGATCGAACACGGTAATATTATCGGGTTCTATCTTAACACGTGTGCAGTTGCCTCTAATATCGGTCGTAAGAGTGCCTAAATAGAGGTTATGCGAAGCTGTGCGCCACCTGTGACGGGAACAACTTATGGTTGGAGGGATTGAAAGTCACTGTGGCGTCTGTAGCTGGTCTTGTTCTAAAGTATCTCCGGGAAGCTTGCGTAGTTCGACCTTAAATCATCCGTCTTCTACTTAAGCCGAGAAATCAAGAATTTATACTAGCTGTAAGGATTTACTTGCAGTGTATCGTAATTATTCTTGTCTCTCTTCGTTGGCTTGTTATGACGTTCCCTTACAATGTGGCAACTCTTAAATTCTTCCTGATCTCCAAGTGAGATTACAAGTGGTCAGGTCCTGTGCAATCTAGTCTTGATGAGATCAATTCAACTGAATACTAGTTCACAATCATAGAAAGAACTTATTAATAACTCAGCTAGCTAAAACGACTTGTATCTCTGGTCCTCCTCCGTAAGAGTAATTCGTGACTTATCCTTCCACTATGAGAAGTATTTGGAAAGAGTAAAGTGTAAGTGTCGGTACATTACATTTTCCATCTTAAATGCGTCACTGGTCCCACTCCACTAGGGACTCCTTCTTCCTTTAATTAGCCAATCAGAGCGCGTTTTAAGACAGCACAATAGATTATGCACGCCTTCATCTCCACTTCTTTCCGAGCTCATTTCCGAATATGCTAATCAGAGAAGTGTCAGAAGTGGGGAGTTTTTGCTATTAGTCATCTCTTCTTGACTGCTTCTCATCTCTGGGACTTGACTAGATGAAGGGTCCTTATGGGCGTGGTCATTTTCGAACGTAACTGACCAGATGTGATTCAGACAGAAAACAATGCAAGTATTGTCTTAATGGGTGTAAGCGCATGTGCGGCTAGTACAAGTTGTTGCACGTTCGGGATTTTTGGGTTGCAATGAATTTAAGAAATGTTTTCTACTCGATATTTCATGTATCGAGTGATATTCGTTCGGAATCTACTTAAGGGTTTTTCCCGGCAATAAACCCATTAATTCCACTGCGCTGTAAAGCAAAGGCACGTTTCACCGGAGTTTTCCAGATATTTTATGACACTAGTGCAAAATAATTATGAGCAGAAAAGTTTTGAATCCTAATGTGAATTTTACGATGTCGCTTGCCAGATGTTTTATTGTATTGAAAAATGTTCTCGCATTCTCAAACATAAACACACAAGGAATCCAATCGTCAACAAAACAATATCAGCATCATACATCAAAAAAAGATTCGTAAGAATGTGCCAATCATCCTCCTGGCACGATTCATCAAGTTCAACTAACAAGACAGGCGCAATCCTAGAATGCTTCTACTGCAAGGAACTGCACCCCAATTGGACATGCAGCAAATTCAAGCAGTTCACTCCCTCTCAAAGACTGGACGCAAATAAAGAAAAAGGGCGATGCCATAATTGCCTGGGCAATCATCTGCCAAAGTCATGCACAAGCAAGAAACGATGTTACGTATGCCACGAGGCACACTATTCATTACTACATGAAGTACCAGACACCACATCAACCAACGTCCAATCACGACAGACCACATGACTAGACACGCCACAAACCAGTGCAATCGGGCGCTAACAACCAATCACATTATTAGCCACTGCTGTAGCCAAGGTGATCATACAATCAACAACACAACAAGCCCGGCTGCTCCTAGACACTCGTTCAGAAATCACACTCATTACGGAAAGATTGGCACGACATCTTCATGTGACACCCAGAATGTCAAAAATACTTGTACACGGAATCGGCAAGACTTCACCAATACAACCACTAGGGATCATTACCTTCACTATACAATCATTGCGGTCAAAGGAACTAATTATTGTACATGCTCACATACTCAAATCCCTATCCATACTTCTACCTCCCCATGACCTCCCACAATGCACAGGGCCTCACATCCAGGGATTGCCACAAGCCGATGAAAATTACGCCAAGGCCAGACCAGTAGACATCGTGTTGGGAGCCGACTCATATGGACAAGTAATGAAACACAACATTATCAAGTCCTCACCACACCTACCTATAGCACAACTGTCAATATTCGGCTGGGGGTTATTGGACCAGCCGGTAACTACACTCACAGTGCCACATCGATGACCATAACCACGGAAGAACTGGAAAATAGCCTGCAAAACCTACTAATACGATTTTGGATAATAGAAGTAATACCAAAGGAACCAAGCGGTCAACTCAATCTAGATCAACAGCAGTGTGAACAGTATTACATCGCAAACCAAGCACGAGTAAGCACTGGAAGGTACAAGGTCAAACTCCCCTTCACAGAATCCCCTGAAACACTTGGAGACTCATACAACGTGGCCCATCAATGCTGGGTGCGCCGAAAAAAAAGTTCACAAGGGACGATAATTATCGCACGCTATATGTTCAATTCATGACAGAATACGAGAACATGAATCATATGCGAAGACTACCAGCAAACTACCATTCCAACAAGAGGGCGTACTATCTGCCGCACCATGGCGTACTAAAACCGGACAGTTCTACGACTAAGCTAAGAGTCGTCTTCAACGGATCAAGCCCATCCTCAACTGGACGATCATTGAATGACATAATGCACACCGGCGCAAATCTAAATCCAGACATTGTTGATGTATTAATTTGGATCCGCAAACACAAGTACTTATTCTCCACAGACATCACAAAGATGTACGGACAAATATTGGTCCACCAAGACGACTGGGATCTACAGCGAATCCTGTGGATAGACGAACTGGGTAACGAGGTCATCTATCAATTAATCATTGTCACATATGGGACCAGAGCAGCCCCATTTCTAGCTGCACGAACACTCCTTCTACTCACCCAAGACGAAGGAGACAACTATCCACTCGCTCTACCCCCCATCAAATACGGAACATACGTGGACGACATCTTTGGCGGTGCAGACAATCCTAGTCAACTAGTGGAAACAGTAACACAATTAAGGGACCTCTACATGGCAGGCGGTTTCGCTCCACCAACCAAGAAGTAATAACCGCCATTCAGGCACCGCCGAATCCGGAACAGTCTGTCAACTTGACCGAAGATGTCACCAAAATTCTAGGGCTACAATGGAGACCCCACGAAGACATCTTCTCATTCTCAACATCATTGACTGCCAAGCAACCACTGCTTCAAAGCGCACCATTCTCTCTGACATTGCAAAATTGTTTGACCCATTGGGATTCGCATCTCCCATAATAATATGAGCCAAATTATTACTCCAAGAACTATGGCTCCACTCTGTTCGATGGGATGATCCGTTCCCAGATCAAGTTGTCAATCGATGGCACACCATCAGAAGAGAATTACAAACACTAAACGAATTAATCATACCTCGGTGATTCAAAACAAGGGAAACATCCCATATAGAACTACATGGGTTCGCTGACACCTCGCAACTAGCAATTGCTGCCGTCATCTACATGGCAATATACAATGAAGACAATGAACCTACGGTAACATTCATATGCTCAAAAACAAAGGTAGCACCACTCAAGAAACTAACAATACCTAAGTTAGAATTAACTGCCGCATTACTACTATCAAGGCTCACCACACGCATCAAAACCTCACTAAATCTAAGGATAAGGGCAACACATCAAATGGACGGACTCACGAGTAACCCTGACCTGGATCAAGGCTCACCCATCACGATGGAAGAATTTGTGTGCAACAGAGTCATACAAATTCAAGAACTCACAGCAGAAGCATAATGGAGGTATGTGCCCGGAACTTCAAATCCAGCCGACTGTGCATCCAGAGGACTCACCACACAACAACTCAAAACACACCCTTTATGGTGGACTGGTCCCCCATGGACAACAACTCCAAATTCGTGGCCAACACAACCCATTGACAAAGAGGATTAATACGACCAGGAAGCCCGCCCAAGCATCTCATTAATTGCCACTATCAAAACGTCGGAATACGACTGGGACATTATCTACAAGTACCCAACATTGACTGAGCTACTAAGAATAACTGCAACATGCATCAGATTCATCGCATGCCTAAAAAGAAAACGCCCTCCTACAAAGCAACTCAAACGTGATGAATTAAATCAGGCCAGAACACAATGGATACGACTAACCCAAAGGGCACACCTAGCCCAAGAATTACAAACGATGCAAACAACAGGCCTGACCCCATCACACGCATTCCATCGACTCACCGCCTATACAAACACACATGGAGTCACAAGGGTGGTGGACAACTAACAAGTACAACAATATCAGAAAACAGAAAACACACAGCAATTCTCCCTAAACAACCACAACTAACGAGGCTCATTGTAATCCCACTTCGCACTCACTTAAACTGTAATTGCCGCTCAGTGTTTTAGTATATACCGTAAAGACGACACGTGGCCATAACTTCTGCAGTCTAATAAATAATATGTGTGTGCATTATTAAAGGGAAATCGGCAAATCGCCAGCCACTTAATGGGACAATTACCCGCCTCAAGAGTAACGCCATCGCGACCATTCACTCACACTGGAGTAGATTACGCTGGTCCCATTACCATAAAAACTTGGAAGGGTAGAGGAGCAAAAACCTACAAGGCCTGGATTTGCGTATTTGTGTGCCTCGCAACCTCCGCAATACACATTGAAGTGGTAGGTGATTATTCGGCAAAGGGATTCATTGCAGCTTACCGAAGATTTACAAGTCGCAGGGGCATCCCACGGGTCATGCACTCTGACTGCGGAACGACATTCATCGGAGCTGACAAGGAATTGAAAAAACTTTTCGTTCAACACACGAAGGAACACCACCACATTAAAACCACGCTCATGAATGACCACGGGCAGTGGGAATTTAACCCACCTACAGCCCCCCACATGGGAGGAAAATGGGAAGCCGCAGTGAAGTCCATAAAGTTCCATATCAGTCGAACAACAAGAGAAGCATCATTCAGCATTGGAGAAATCAACACACTACTAACCCAGATAGAGGCCATACTAAACTCACGCCCAATACACCCATTGACGGACGACCCCAATGACTGCTCTGCACTTACTACAGGTTACTTCCTCATAGGAGAACCCCTCAACACAATTTCTGACCCATCCACAGATGATCCTAACGCGTCAATAATGTCAAGGTGGCAATTCATCCAACAATGACTTCAACGATTCTGGAAGCAATGGAAAAAACATTACCTACAACAATTCCTCTCAACCTCAAAGTGGCATCACCCAAGCAACACGATCAACATTGGATTACTAGTCCTCATCACAGATCAACGCCAACCACAATGCAAGTGGCTGCTCGCGAGAGTCATAAAACTGCACCCTGTAAAGGATGGACTAACTAGAGTAGTGACACTAAAAACCACCTCTTCAATAATTTCAAGACCAATTCACATTCTTGCTCCCTTGCCAGTTCCCATCGAAGATACAGATATCAATCATCAATAAATTTATGATGGCGGGCGGAATGTTACGGATTGCAGTAGTTTCTAAGCGGAATAAAAAGTGGGAGAGGTATGAGCGCGCGGGCATTTGTTTTGTAAAAACTGACTAACGAACTCAAAGAATGCTTATAACAAAAAAAACTCAAATATACTACTATAATTACAAAAGTAATAACAAATGAACTCTACGCGGCTATGCCCTGTTTACGTCACGACAAATATCGGCATAGCAACGACCACCGATGCAATTTCGACGCAGCTTGTTTATACGAGAATATTTAAGGAGCTGCACATGACGCTCTCGGCCTCTTGCTAGTTCAATCAAGCAATCATCTAAATCAAATTATTGTTCTACAAGTCAACGCCATTTACACAGAGATCGCCTTCAATTCACACAAATCGCCGTCTTACAAGTCAAACACCACTTATATAGAGGTCACATCCAATACACAACGATCTATCTCCACACACGTAAGCTACGCTATTACACATGTCCTTACGTACCATCAATACAACTGATATCGACCCCACACACGTAAGCTACGCTATTATACACGTTCTTACGAATCACTAACACACGGCTCCGTGAACTAAGTAAGCAGCAATACCCAAACCACAGCATCATTGCCATTCATCAGTGACATCATACACCAGCGCCCCACTCAAGCCTCTCCAGCTCATCGGTAGCGGCAACGGCGGCATCAATTCTCCTCAACAGTGATGTCACACACCAACGCCACCACCCAGGCCTCTCCAGCGTAGCGGTAGCGGCAATCGGTGGCGTCAATCTCGCAGCACACTCAAGAATACACTTATAAGATTAACATCACTCACATTACCTGAAGAAACCTTAATAAACCACTGATTATTTATTATATCATTATATTCAATAAAGGGAAAACCAACTCATACAAAGGCAGTATTGAATTATTGCATTGTCCATTCCACTTGCTAGCAAGCCTCACTTCACCATCTCAGGGAAGCGTTTTAGTCTGATTCAAACAATACAATAAAGATATGTCTGAAGTATATGCTATTTATTCTGTTATTTATTACTGACAAGGTTGACTAGTATTACTATTATTACTTGTAGAATTAATTCTTGGATTGAAGTAAAGTGTTGCGGAAACAACTGTACAATAATCTATGCAGCTTTGTTCGGAAAATAATCCCACAATTTGACTAGTCAGCCAAACGTGCAATAATTAACGTAGAACAATAAAACCCACTAGATGTTATGTGGGGTTGCCGGGCAAGTAAAGGGTGAATGCACTGATTAATAATTAACACATGTCTTTATTATTTCTATTTATTTGAATTGATTTACAAAATGGTGAATTACAGACGAACTTTATATTTCTTGATAATCTTGTGGTGTTGAAATATATTTACTATGAATGAAGCAGGTTATAATCTATTGAATATTATCACTAAGAGGTTATCATGATTGTAGTGCTCTGATCGAACACTGGAATGCCATTGTGTTTATCTTAACACGTGTGTAGTTGCCTTTAAATATCGGTCGTAAGAGAGCCGAGATGGAGGTTATGCGAAGCTGTGCGCCATCTGTGGCGGGAACAACTTGCAGTTGGAGGGATTGAGAAGCCAATGTGGCATTTATAGCTGGTCTTGTTCAAGAGTATGTCCGGGAAGCTTCCGTAGTTGGACTTTAATCCGTCCGTCTTCTACATAAGCCGAGAAATCAAGAATGAGTACTAGCTGTAAGGACTTACTTGCAGTGTATCGTGATTTTCCAGTCTCTCTTCGATGGCTTGTTATTACGTTCCCTTGCAATGTTGCAACCCTTCAGTTCTTCCTTGTCTCCAAGTGAGACCACAAGTGGTCAGGTCCCACGCAATCCAGTCTTGATGAGATCAATTCAACTGTACACTAATTCACAATAGTGGAAAGAACTTATTATTAAAACTCAGCTAGCTAAACGACTCATCTCTCCGGTCCTCCTCCGTGAGAGTTGGTCGTGACTTATCCTTCACTGTAAGAAGTATTTGGAAAGAGTAAGTGAGGGTACATTACGTAGTCCCTTCTTAAAATGATTCACTGATCCCGCTCCACTTGGGATCCCTTCTTCCTTTATTAATTAACCAATCAGTGGTTGATCTTGGGTCGCACAATAGATTATGCACGCCTTCATTTCCACTTCCTTCCGGGCTCAGTTCCGAATTTGCTAATTGGGAAAGTGTCGGAAGGTGGCGAGCCTTTTCCATTGGTCACCTCTCTTTGGTTGCCTCATCCCTCTCTGGGACTTGGCTAGAAGAAGGGTCCGCTTGGGCGTGGTCAATTTTCCAATACGATCGACCAGATGTGGCATAGCCAAGAACAATGCAAGCATTGTCTTAAAGGCCGAGTGCGCACGTATGGTCATTGCATGTGTAGTACGTATGGGTTTTCGGTTGCAGTAAATATTTGTACTCAATGCTTCACGCATATCTGATATTCGTTTCGAATCTACTTTGGGGTTCTCCCGGCAGTAAACCCATTAGGTTCTACTGCACTGGGAGTATGAGCACGTTCCGCTAGAGTTTTCCAGATGTTTTATGACACTAGTACAAATAATTATGAGCAGGAAAGTTTTGAAGTCTTAAATACAATTTTCATGACATTACTTGTCAGATATTTTATTGCCTTATTAAACGGAGTCTCTTATTCTCAAACAAGCTTGATTGTTGAAAACGAATGGCGATTGGCGCGCAGTTTCGTTCGTCGACACTAGCGCCTTTTGAACGAGCACGTGTGTGGTTGAGGTTATTGTTCGGGATTGAAGCAGTCTCATGAATTTCAAACAAATGAAAGGTCATATACGCAGTCCGGCGTACCGCATGTGCGCCTAGACTGACCGCGCGTGCAGCAAGGCTGACCATCACGTGCGCCTAGGCTGATCCGCACGTGCGGACCGAGGCGGGTACTCGAG